AAACAAACTTCAAAAAGCACTCAGAAATGGTTACAAACAAAGCGCTGGAGAGTTCTGAAATGGCCAGCAGTGAGTCCAGATCTGAATCCCATAGAACACCTGTGGAGAGATCTCAAAACAGCAGTTGGGAGGAGGCATCCTTCAAATCTGAAGGCCCTGGAACAATTTACAAAATAAGAGTAGTCCAAAATTCAAGTAGAGATGTGTAAGAAACTCATTCATGGTTACAGGAAGCGATTGATTTCAGTCATTTTTTCCAAAGGGGGTGCGACCAAATATTAAGTTAAGGGTGCCAATAATTTTGGCCAGTGCATTTTTGGGTTTCTATGTATCAGATTTGATTTTTCTTTTCTGTTTTTTGTGTTGTTCCAATACAAACCAAAGAAATGAACATGTGAGTATCAAAATGTTTGCAACTGCAACAATTTTCTGAGAGAAGGGTTGCGTTTTCTGACAGATTTGCAAAGGTGCCAATAAGAGGAAATTGACCACACACCAAAACAAAATATGCTTATAATCACAGGTGACTGGAATATAAAAGTGGGGAACAAAGCAGAACCAAATTTTAGAAAATTTGGCCTAGGTGATAGAAATGAATCAGGATAATGGTTTCAAAACAAAATATGCTTATAGGTGACTGGAATATAAAAGTGGGGAACAAAGCAGAACCAAATGTTAGAAAATTTGGCCTAGGTGATAGAAATGAATCAGGATAATGGTTCATAGAGTTGTGCACTTTGTTTACTGCAAATACATGATTCCAACAACTGAACAGTCAGCTGTACATCAACAGATAACCAATACAGAAATCAAATCGACTATGTAACTGGAAGCAGGAGATGGAGAAGCTATATGGTTTCCACCAAAGCAATATCAGGAGCATATTGTGGTACTGATCATGAGCTGTTAATATCCAGAGTAAAGCTGAAAAAGAACATTAAAAGAATTGTAGTACCAAAATATAATTTAAACATTCCTGGTGAATTTAAAGTCCACATAAGGAACAGATTTGCATTACTAAACTCAACTGACCATGGACCAGAAGAATTGTGGATTGAAACCAGACATATTATTAGGGAACAATTCAAAAAGACAGTTTCTGTAGTAAAAAGAAAAGAAAACCCTAGATAAATGATGGAAGAAAACTTAAAATTGAAAAGGACATGTGAAAAGCAGAAGTAAAAGATGACAGAAATAGGTTCAGAACCAGGAATGCAGCTTTCCAGCAAGTATCATGTACTATTACAAGAGAACTATTACAAAAACCACTGCAAAGAAACAGATAACAAGACAAAGGGAAAAAAACAAGAGATCTAGATCACTGGTTCTTAACCTTGGGTTACTCAGGAGTTTTGGACTGCAACCCCCAGAAGCCTTCGAACCACTGCAAAGAAACAGAGGACAAGACAAAGGGAATAAAACAAGAGATCTAGATGATCCAAGAAATTAAAGGCAATTTCAAGCCTAGATTAGGAATGCTGAATGACCAAAAGGGAAGCACAGTATCTGACCAGCAGAAAAGGAAAAGAAGGTGGGAACAGTATACTGAAGACCTGTACTGAAGAGAAATTCTGTGATGAAGAACATGCAGTTCTAGAAAGTGAAGTGAAAGCTGTTCTGAAAGTACTAGGAAAAAATAAATCACGAGGGGTAAATGGAATACCAATATAAATATTTTGAGCCACAGAGACCGAATGTGTCAAAATCCAAACAAGATTATGCCAACAAATATGGTAAACAAGAAAGTGGCACCAAAGATTGGCAACATTTAATATATATTCCAATCTCCAAGAACGGAGATACCAAGGAGTACATTAATTTAATTTCTTATGCAAGCAAAGTGATGCTCAAGATGTTGCAACAAAGGCTTTTACCTTATATGGAACATTTCTGGTTCTTTACAGGTTCTTTAAAAAAATCCTCCAGTTTATGAATGTGAAATGCTGTGCTTCCATATTTACACTTGCCAGGAAGTGGCCCAATATATCCTCCAGTTTATGAATGTGAGATGCTGTGCTTCCGTATTTACACTTGCCAGGAAGTGGCCCAATATTTCTGCACAGTGTCATGCCCACATAACAAAGCAAAAGCCAGTATGAATGTTGACCACAATGGCAGTAGTCAAAAATGATCTACAGCAGTGGTTCCCAACCTTGAGTAACCCAGAGGTTGTTGGACTGCCACTCCCAGAAGCCTTCACCACTAGTGGTGCTGGCCAGGCCTTCTAAGAGTGGCAGTCCAGGAATACTTGGATTACCAAAGGCTGGGAACTACTAATCTACAAGGTATCCATTTGTGCTCATTGCTTTTCACAAAGCAACAGCAAGCAAGGAAAAATCCCAGAACCCTTTTTCATCCGTTAACCACTTCTCTCCCAAACACAAAACAATGATCAGCTGTTTGTGAACAAGTGTGAAATGTTATGTAAAGCTTGGCATCCTTTTTTACTGTTTGCAGCAGAGGAACAATATTGTACAACAACATCAGGCCATTCCCTGGTGTTTTGAATCGTGGATTTGGAAGCGCAATATCCCATACTATAAACCAGAACACACACGCGTGCATGCACACACACATACACACACACGAGAGAAGAACTGATATTCTTGTGAATGATACCTTGGGAGTGTGTGGTAGTGCACATCATCAGATGAACTGGATAAAAGTACTGGACAGTAGTTTACAAAAGGTTTGGACGATTCAGAATAAGAAAAATGCTGGCTCAAAAACCTAGACTCTGGAGTTTGGTGCAGACTTTCCTGCTGAGAAACTCTGGCATTACTCATATAGAACCATCAGTGTGCAAGGCACTTAACAACAGGACAGTTCAATATTAAGAAGACAGAGGAGAGTAAATCTTCAGCAGCCTCATTGGTAAAAGTATGTGGAAAATTCTAACTACTTCAAAGCCGTTTGTTAGTAGCTCTAGTTTGGCAAAATTATTGCCATGTCACAGCACCATTATCAAATATGAAATTAATTCCTTTTTCTGCCAAAGATCAGTACAGTATTGCTTAAAAATTTCAGGTTAGTTTTGTGTCTCCCTGCTCCAGTTGCTTCAAAATGTCAGGTTAGTTTTGTGTCTCCCTGCTCCAGCAGGTCTCCTCTCACATGACTGATATGCAACTGTCTATGGAACCAATCTCACAAGCAATATAAGACTGACCATGCAAGGGGGAACTCACTGAATTGGGGTGGCAGGGAACACTCATGTGATTGCCCTTTCATAGTTGTATACTTCAACAGGATACTGGCCACTTTCCTTTGCTAGTTTCACATTACTGAAGACTCTCATCTGCCAGCCATACATTCTGTTCATTTACTTTGCAACAGCTTGTCCTTTAGTGTTTTCTGATTGTGCTGCAGATTGATTGATTGATTGATTGATTGATTGATTGATTGATTGATTGATTCTAACATGACTCTGATATTATCTCTTCTTTAAATCTAGTTGTACTTGGCATAGAATAGCTGCAATCATAATAAAGTCAACAGCATTTATTATAAGGACAAGTGATTACGAGTAATGGTGATGGAATGGAAACAGTACATTTTATATCTGTTTGCATACATGTGCAGTAGATGCATCCTTGACTCTCAGAAAAGCAGATTAAATTTCTACAGCCTTGGACAAGGAGCTACAACTTCAGTAATGTCAACTAATGCTAAGGGGAAAAAATTAAAGACGGCCACAAACACACCCATATACAGTATATGTAAATAAAAGGAACAATATCAGTCTATCAGTTGGTGCTGGCCAACTGCTGGAAGGAAAAAATGAAACCCAAATACAGTATATTGATAAGATATATTTATATGCGGTAGTCCAAGGGTAACCTTATAAAACTTTGGTCTGTGTTATGTACTAGCAGTGCTGTGGTGTGTATGGGAAGCAACAGATCGGTAGTTTTAATACCTTTAATATAAGGGAAGTAGAAATCCAGGAGTACTGTAGCACTATGAGATTCAAGAATTCTGAGGGTCGTTTATAGACTTTGTAGTAACTAATTTGGTTTTAGTTTTTTGCCATGGTAAAATTAGTGCTCTTAATTAGTGACACTATGTTCCTGTAATTGCCACAGTGTCTGTGGATGTTTCCAGCACTGATTTGTCTTTCATGAAGACAGTTGCAGTAGTGTGTTTTCTTTTGAAGAAAAATAAATCCTGTTATTTCAGTCAAATCCTAACAACATCTACTTGGAAGTATTTCCCAGTAAGCTAAGTAAATGTGCTTATGATTTTGACTTGTGACTTTCAGGTGCAATTAATACTAACTCCATGTGATATTGCAACAAGTGCTAAGGCAGTTTATTGCAATATTTAAGATACAATTTAAAGGTGTGTTTTTTAAATATGCTTTTAATTCTTTCAGTCTCTAAAGGTGTAATGTGACAGTGGGTTTTTATTTGCCATTAAAGATCCTGAACTCACCACATTTTGAATAATACCCTAAAAACCAAGCTGCATACTGACTATAAATATCAAAAAGTCTGTTCATTTGGGTTAAACTGAGAAAGTAAATATCCAGGAATGTTTATTTAGCATTTTTAAAAGGAGGGTATTTTATATCTTGTGGGTATTTTACTAGCTAGGGGTCTTCACATCAGAATTCTGCAAAACAGGAAGATACAGGTAGTTAACAGCACAATCCTGTGCATCTTTACTCAGAAGAAAGCTTGATTAATCATAGTGGGTTTTACTCCCAGGCAGTGTAAACATAAAATTACAGAAGCTTTTACTGCGTTTTGACTGTAATTAAAAATACTTTGATACTCCTATATCTGCTCTGACCTAAATGTGTGCACACCTATCTTGTGGCAATTTAAGCTAAATTTAAGCATATGTACAAGAAAGTGAATCCCATGGAACCTGATGGGACTTCTTCCTGATTAAACTTACATTGTGTTTTAAGAACTATTAATTCTCGGAAGATTGCTGAGAAGAGTTCTTTTTAATGTGAAAGTTTTATGCTTGAACAAATTTTTCTGTTTGCTAAACAGGAACCTAAACTTGGAGCTGTGCCTGGTATTCTGTGGCCCATAAGGAGAAACACACTTAAAGAAAGATACTAATTGGTAAGTGGCCTCCAGGAACACTTAAGGAAAGACTTGTGCCTGGATTTCCTCTTTTCAGAAGAACTTGGCACATCTAAATTTGTCATTAGAGCACAGTATTCTGGGAAATGTTTGGTCTTGTTTAGTAGCCATAAATCTTAGTGAGGGAGGTGTTGTATGTCTCAATAGTCCATTAGGTTTAAATATGCTTAATTTATTAAACTGACTAAGCAAGGGCTCAAACTGTATAGCATGGGATGTAAAAGACAGCAGTTGAGGAAACTGCTTACGAGTTTTTAGTTTTGTTCTGTATATTGATTTTTTACAATGCAGATTTTCAGTCACATTATTTTATACCAAGGTTTGAAGCAGCAGCTGATGTATATTTGTTTCAATTATATTTGCAAGATCATAATCTATAATGTCACTCCCTTTGAAATGTAACTTTAACTGTGAACTACATATGGGTTCATTACCTAAATGTGCTTTGCATCACAGGCCAGCAGCTTGTAGCATTCTTGTGGATTTTTTAAAAAACTAATTACATGTTTCAGTTTTCATTACTTTTGCATAGCTACAGCAAAGAAGCAAACAAATATGTTTCTTTAAAATTGGTAATAACATGTAATGAAACAATTTGAGGGAGCACACCTTGTAGCAGTCACTAGTTATCTTTTAAAATGAACTTTCCAAGTTGTGATTCTATAAGGTGAACTTGTAAACATGTTGTAGGTGATTCTCAGAACATAAGGGATTATTCAGCTGAATTTAAGAGATGTAAGTATACTGGTATTCCATGGTTTAGCACAAGCATCTCACCTAATTACTCCTCCTCTTGCATACTTATTGTTCTCCATCCGTTTACTGGTTTCCATATGTCAAATATGTCTCACCCATTTTATTGTCAAGGTCTTTTAAAAAAGCAAAAAGAAAGAAAAATAAATCTTAAAAAGAAAAGGGCATTTTTCTTTTTAACAGTGCAACAATAAGTTACACTGGTAGCCATTTTATTATTTCCTGCACACTCCTCCCTTCCCTTCACACAAGAAGGGGGAAAATTATAAAGCTTCCATTACTGTCTGTTTCTAAACCAGTCTCCAATTTCATCTGGAGAAACTGTGCTTTGTGCAAACTGCAGTTAGTTAAGCCAGTATATCAAACCAGAATCTGAGTAGTTATTAGAGCTTGTGACCCAAAGGCTCCAATAACCAAAGAAGATAGGTAACTGTGGCTTATAATGAGCCAGAAATAAAAAATATACTCTCCAGATACTTCATATGCTGGTCTGTGGCTTATAACACCTAATCTAGTTCTGTTGTTCGTGTCTGAAAGAGGCCATTGTGTGAAGCATTCTAGTTAAGTCCAGTTGTGGAAAACTGGCATATTTGCACAATGCCAATCATGGCGTTTTGTTTGCTACATTTAGATTTCTTGATCACACAGAACATGGCAGCATTTATACAGACTCCCATTCTTCTGTAAAAGAAAATATTCTTACTTAAATTGGTATTTTTTCAAAAATAGAGATTTTGATAAGTCATGTTTCTCTTGGCACTTCAAAGCAGGACTGTCCATAAAATGAGGAAAATGGGGGGGGCGGTCAGCGGGAATAGAAAATACTTGATTATTTAGGCATTCCAGATAGGATTTTGGTAACATATCAGATAATGCATTTCAACTATTTGATGTGGCTTATTGAGCTAGTTAAAAGCATGTGCTCATAGTTTAGTAACAATGAGTTGAACTCTGTGTTATTTTTCTAACTGTGCTGCACCTTTCTTGTCAATTACATGTTTTTTTAATGACTGGCAACAGAAGCCGCCAGTTAAAGCCAGTTTTTCAAATCATAAAAACAGATTATATTTGCTATTCCCATTCTAGTCATAAGAGTTGTAAAGTGATTTTTGAGAAGCATTTAATTTTATTGACTTTATCCAGGTGGTCATTCAGTAGCCACTGTTCCTCAGTGGGATTTTGTCCTCTGCAAGCATGCAGAAAATAATGTATTATGGGATAACAATATGCTTGTCGGCTCATGATGCAAGTTCTGCTATCTGACCTCCTTTTATTATCTGCCTGAAATTCCTAGCCTTAGAATTAATGTAAATAATACTCTCCTTACACCACAGAAATGCTATTATTTATGCCAAACAAATCATTTGAAAGGAACATGAATGTTAAAAAACTGTGAGTACCTTTGTCCATCTTCTAGCACTGATAATACTAACTGCTGGAAATGTACCAAAAAAAAGGACTTCAGATGGTCATTGTGGTGTGTTGGTTCCTCTAGGCAGCCATAAGAAATCACTGTGTGCTTTTAGGGATTGCCTCTGGTCCACAATAATTGCCACAGGTTGTTTTCTCTGAATGAAAACCATCTCTTACATGGTAATCTTTAGGGAATATCTCTAAACAGTTTCTGATAATGCAGATTTTAGAGAGTGCTTCTGAACAGTTAAACACAGAATGCATTAAATCAGGGTTTCCTGGGATCATTTACAGCAAAAATGGTGAAGCTGTAGGTGTTGAGATGTTCTTGTACTCTCCACCCTGACTATTGTTGATGCTGACTAGGGCTAGAAGGAGTTTCAATCCAACTATACCTAGGGCAATGGTTCCCAACCTTGGGTTCACAGATTTTCTTGGGCTACAACTTCCAGACATCCTGGCCAGAACAGCTAGTAGTTAAGACTTCTGGGATGCCAAGAACATCTGAGGACCCAAAGTTGGGAATTACTGATACAGGATATCAAGGATCCTCACCCTCAGTTTGCACATTTCCCTATTTCCAGTATTACATATGGGTACAGATAGGAATCCAAGATTTTCCAGCCTTTCTAGACGCCCTTCTCCATACAGTAGTTCTATGGAAAACCATTTCCAGTTATCAGGAAGGTGCTGTGAAATACTTTGTGCTATCTAATTGCACAAGGTGGAGTACCACAGGACATGAAGGATGCAAACATCGCCACATTGTACAAGAACAAAGGAGACAGGGGTGACTGCAATAACTACCGTGGCATCTCTCTTCTTAGTGTGGTAGGGAAGCTGCTTGCCCGTGTTGTGCTGAAGAGGCTCCAGGTGCTTGCAGATAGAGTCTATCCAGAATCACAGTGTGGATTTCGAGCTAATAGATCCACCACTGACATGGTATTCTCCCTCCGACAGCTGCAGGAGAAATGTAGGGAACAACAACAGCCACTCTTAGTGACCTTCATAGACCTTACAAAAGCATTTGATCTGGTTAGCAGGGATGGCCTTTTTAAAATACTTCCCAAGACTGGATGTCCACCTCGTCTCCTTAACATCATCAGATCTTTCCATGAGGGAATGAAAGGCACTGTAGTTTTTGACGGCTCAACATCAGACCCCTTTGACATCCAAAGCAGAGTGAAACAGGGCTGTGTCCTCGCACCAACACTTTTTGGGATCTTTTTTGCTGTCATGCTGAAGCATGCCTTTGGAGCTGCAACCGAGGGCGTCTATCTCCGGACTAGATCAGATGGAAAGCTCTTTAATCTCTCTAGATTGAGAGCGAAGACCAAAGTCCAACTGAAATGCATGCGGGACTTCCTCTTCGCAGATGATGCAGCCATCGTTGCCCACTCTGCTGAAGACCTCCAACAACTCATGAATCATTTCAGCAAGGCCTGCCAAGACTTTGGACTAACAATCAGCCTGAAGAAAACACAAGTCATGGGCCAGGGCGTGGACTCACCTCCCTCTATCACCATCTCCACACAAGAATTGGAGGTTGTTCATGACTTTGTGTACCTCGGCTCAACCATCTCTGACACCCTCTCTCTAGATGTCGAGCTGGATAAACGCATTGGCAAAGCAGCCACCATGTTCTCTAGACTCACAAAGAGAGTATGGCTCAATAAGAAGCCGACGACACATACAAAGATCCAAGTCGATAGAGCCTGTGTCCTAAGCACACTCCTGTACTGCAGCGAGTCCTGGACCCTTTGTGCACGGCAGGAGAAGAAGCTGAACACGTTCCATATGCGTTGCCTCCGAAGGATTTTTGGTATCACCTGGCAGGACAGAGTTCCAAATAGAGTAGTCCTAGAACGAGCTGGAATTTTCAGCATGAACACATTACTGAAACAGCGACGTCTACGCTGGCTTGGGCACGTTGTGAGAATGGCTGATGGTCGGATTCCAAAGGATCTCCTATATGGAGAATTAGTGCAGGCAAATCGCCCCAGAGGGAGACCACAGCTGAGATACAAGGATATCTGCAAGCGGGAACTGAAGGCCTTAGGAATAGACCTCAACAGATGGGAAACTCTGACATCTGATCGTTCAGCCTGGAGGCAGGCAGTACATCACGGCCTCTCCCAATTTGAAGAGACCCTTGTCCAGCAGGCCGAGGCAAAGAGGAAGTCACAAAAGCAGCAAAACCAGGGAGCCGGACAGGGGACAGACTGGATTTGTCTTCAGTGTGGAAGGGACTGTCACTCTCGAATTGGCCTTCTCAGCCACACTAGGCGCTGTTCCAAGCCCTCCATACAGAGCACGCTACCATAGTCTTTCGAGACTGAAGGATGCCTAACTAATCTAATTGCCAGCAGAGAAACCCATATTAGTAGTGATCAGACAGCAAGAGAGGAATCACACTGGAAAGGGTTACTTTGCTGGGAGTGATCTCCCTTAAAGCAGCCCTTCCATTTGCACTGGAATTGCTCCATTTGATCCCCAAAATAGCTGTTGGATCGAAATGGTCCAGTTTGGGCATGGATTAGGGCTAGACTGGTTCACAGTCTCCTGTACATTCTGGGATCAGGAGATCCCTCAGACCACACCATGCAACTAGTGGTCCAAAACACAAACTATTTCTCTGACGTATCACACCCTTAGTCACAGAGAAGTATAAGGATACCACCACCATACACACACACATCACAATATAGCAGTGCTTACAGGCACCCCATGGCATTGGAATATTGTAGTCTGTTCATTTCAATTGATTATAATAGTGCTCTGACATATTTTCTGATGCTGCATAATTGTCAGTG